TAATCCATTAAATTTTATAACTAGAGTGTCATTGCAAAGACAAAATTAGAATAAAAGAATACTCACGACTGTGCTGTATACCATTTTTCTCATTTGCTTGCCCTAGTAAATTGCTTGTCCCATGCTTGCCAAACTTGGTGTTTTCGGGGGTAAGTAATTGCTTGAAAAGGTCAAATTTCAATCTGCACTTTGCTCATACGGAAACCTGAACTCTTAATCTTGTACTTTAAAAGATGAGAAAATACAGCTAGATTATAACTTTTGATAATCATGTCATAATACTTGGAAGAGAGATGTTCTCTTGCTTAATTGTTAAAAGATTTGTTCCCATTATTATACTTTTTTGTGAAATGATGCATAACCCAACTAATAAAACTCCATCTAGACAGAAAATGATGTTTCAACAATGTCTCATTAAGATAGACACGGAGAATGCTTTTAAGTAATCCTTTATTATGTATCAGTTATAGTTTGGTGGGGTGCACGTTTTTTTTAATTATATTTGCAACCTGAGTGCTCCAATTTGAATTCAAGGACTTGTGACTGACTAAAAGGTTTTAAATACTCCATTCTTTATTCATTTGAATTCCCACAAACATTATTTTATAAAAATATATACGAATAAAAACATGGCATCTGAGTATATCTATAATGGAAGCAGAGCCAATAGTTGTTACCAGATCCAAAGCGGTTGGATGTCTATAATGATAGCCTACAAATAGATAATTATCAGTTGAGACATCATCCATTATCTTAATCATATTTTTATTGTCCAATAAAGAAAGTTGTGAATATGTTTAAATTAGATGGTTAGACCCATCTGCCTCTGAAAATAGAGGCAGAGTTTGTAGCTTTATTGTGTTGTCAATTCTCATTATTACAAGACATCTCAACAGGTCTCTTATTTGGCCCCCTTCCCTCACCCTCAACATGTAGTGTAAAATCAGTGACACTTATTGATTGTTTTGTTATCTTGAATGCTCAGTCTGAGTGGCCTTTTTAGAAAGTTTTGGTACTTGACAGACCTAAAGGCTGGACCTAAAGTTGTGTAGCTTAGTGACATTTCATTTATCTCTTGAAGTGCAATGTGAGCGTTCAAGATCCGGTAGCTAATGAAAAAAAAAAAAAAAAAAAAATTTGATGGGAGAGCCCCTGCCCTGAATTTTCTAACCATTTGAACTCGATTACCTTGAGTTTTTATTGTGGAATTATATAAATATATATTTGTAAAGTGGTGATACATGTGAGTCTCACTTCATTGCATCATGTGGACGGGGAGCGTTCGGCTCTCCATTTTGTTTGAAATTTTCAATTAAAAAATTATTATTCATATTTGTATTCTGAGTCTCTGACCTAACTATACATAAGGGTCAAGTTTGAGCATGTTTGATGATTTTTCAAAATAATATACACGAGTGATACATGTGCGTCTCACTTCATTGCATCCAATAGACGGGAGGGTTCGACTCCTCATTTTATTTGAAAATTTCAATTAAAAAATTATTATTTATATTTGTATTGTAAGTCTGTGACCTAAATTATGTGTAAGAGTCAGGCAGGTTTGAGAATGCTTTCTGACTTTTCTTCTCCTCTGAAATTATTAAGATTTATTGTAGACCACCTAAGATACGAAAGTTGTGCAGACCAGAGGGGAGGCTAGTTGATGAATGTGCATGAACTAAATGTGCATCAACCAGGGGTCTTTATCAACCAACAAGGTCATGTGCAAGTGGGTTTCATATCATCTTGAAATCATAATTCATTAATAAAAGTTTAATACTAGTATCTATCTAATGTGTTTATTGAGATGGAGAGACAGTATTATTAATTCATGCGATTTTTTTGTTTAAATGACAAAGGTCCCACCCAACCATTTCAAGTTCTTTATTTTCCTTCTTCTGGATTTCCCTTTAGGTGTTCTTTTGGCGCCGCTTGTGACCCTTCTCATTTGTATATTATCATCTTTTGGAAGTGCCCACCCAGCTATTTGTGTTCAATTAATTAAAAGGATAAGACAAAAGTGGTTAATGATTTTTTGAAAACTGTACCCTTTTTTTTTTTTTTTGGTTTACTTCATGCTTAAGAGGAGTAAGTTTTATTCATTATTTTTCTCTATGATTATTGAAGAAGTAGTGTGACTATCCGAATTTTATCACAACCCAATCCATATTAGCTTAATTTATTGTCTAATATAAAAAAAAAATTTGCTAATTAATCTGATTGAGATATAAATTATTTTCAGTAATATGTATAAAAAAATTAGTGTGCTTAGTGATGTTTGCATCAAAGCCATCCGTGTGAATGTGATGGTGGGCATTAGTATCCACAACTCTCCTACTACACGAATAAATAGCAAATTATACCAACTTTGATCATTTTTTTTTTCTCGCTTCGAACACAAAAAATAGTTGAGATCATTTCACATGAAATGAATTTCACTCATTCCGGGAGAATCACATAGAGTAATCTTCATCCTTGTATATTAAAGTGTTCGATACAGTTAACAAGATTTTAATTTAAATTTTGTTAATTCTCAAGTCTAAATCAGAATTTATAATCGCGTGCTTAGTGATGTATGCATAAAAGCAGCCCATGTGATGGTGGGCATTAGTATCCATAACTCTTTTAGTACACGAATAAATGACAAAGTATACCAACTCTTATCATTTTTTTGATTGGACAAAAATGCAATGGAGATCACTTCACGTTGAACAAATTTTTAGTGACGTTTCTTTTGAGACTTGAACTCCTGACCTTATTTTGAGAAGTAAAAACCTGATACCGTTAAATTACTGGCAGTTGGTGATAACAAGATTTTTTGTACTTGTATATTATAGTGTTCAATACAAATAACAAGATTTTAATTCAAATTCTGTTGGCTTAAATCTAACGTGTCATTGTGTTACACGGTTGATAGAATCAATCATGCACTCACATATGTCCGAATAGTTTGGCATGATTTGAGATTCTCAAAAAAATTGACAGAACTTAGAATTATTTATTTTATTAGATTTTGTGTGCGCGTGTGATGTAACTTTTTACTGTTTTAGTCACTGTGTATTGGATTATTGGTTGGATCCATTATGTCATGAAAAAAAGGACTAAAAACTTGAATGATGAAATAATATCTTGAAGCGAAATACTAGCTTAAAAGGGTTCCATGAAAAAAAAGGAACGGCCACTATTAAAGTGAAATAATAATAGTGGGGTCATGGAGTGTATGATGATAGAAGGGCACAAACAAACCCTAGTGAGAGAATCTTGGCGTGGCATCAAAGTGTGTCCCCAACGCATGGAAGGTGGAGAATGGAAAGCCCTATTCTTCCAACTAAAGCAACACTCCTATATAATAAGCATGCTGCTATTTGTCTCCAAAGTTAGGAAGCCCTTTGACGCGGTCTCTGGGCCGTTCTATAGGGCCCACCTAAAAGCCCCTACCCATTCAATACGACCCCCCTTCCTTACTAAAGAATACCAAAAGGAGATTGAGCCTCAGGGTGGAGCCCCACCACCACCGCCAACCCCATTCGAGTTGTGGTGGACTGATCTTGATTTATATCCTAATGAAAAATACTTTTTACTGCATTTGTAATTTAGTAAGACCAATTTCAAATATTTTAATTATGAGACATTTCACTTCACCTGAATGTGCATTTGAGATGGCACCGAATCAAAAGATTGGGTCTATCTATCTTGCGAACAGATAAATATTTCATGATCTGATTCAAAAATTTTAAACTATTATATGGGATAAACATTCAATCTGTTTATACAATCTGATTCAAAATTTTAAACTATTATATGGGATTAACATTCAATCCGTTTATACGTTAAACAAGAGTCCTCTTGTAATACCTATCTACTACATTGATACAATTATTTCCAATGTATTTTTCTGTTTGGGCCTCTGGGCTCTCTTGTTCTCCATTGTATGGGTTTGTTTGGGCCAAAGGCCTGCCATGTACAGTGCTTTTAATTTATAATATTAGTTCAACTTTCGGGAAAAAAAAAAACTATTTCCAATGTACAAATCAGGCTTGAAAATACAATTACTTATGGGCCCTTGGTATTGGTCGTCAGAGACAACACACTGTTATTGCCTTCCCGAGAACTTAAATTTTTTAGGTTTTATTTGAAAGTAAGAAGAGACACAGAGAGATGGTTCTTAGTTAAATAAAAAGGGAGAGATAAAACATGCAAAATTAGCTGATCCTTTTAGGATAAATTATAATATTAAATAAAATCGAAAATACAACACTAGCAGTACTATATAAAATGTAAATGAGTATAACAACTATAAAAATTGAAAAAAAAAAATATAAATATAACTAAGAACTATAAAAAAGAGGAGGATGCATTACATAACAAATTTAAATAAATAATAATGTTATATAAAGTGTAAATAACATGAGATAGAACATTAAGCCCTTGTAATTATAGAGTTAGTTAGCAATGAACTATCATTCAGATTGATCAGCTCTCCTAATAGGAAGGTGTTTGAGAAATGTGACTGAATAACCAAATGATCAAATGGTTCAACGGTATTATCCCCTTCTTTTCAAAGAAAAAATTAAAAGTTCCAACCTCAATGGAAATAGGGTGTGTGCGTATTTGCTTTTAACTTAAAAAAAACAAAAAAAAAAAATGACTGAATAAACGACTCTCAAATTTCAAATCTCCATGTTCATACTTTATAATATAATCTAAGACTAAGAGTACACCGTATGTAACTAGTGTACAAACGATACCCCTAATCATACACTTAAATAATTTATCAAAACATTTTAAATTATAGTAACCCCTATATTCTGCGAGCGGCGTTGGAGCTACGAGATTTGAATATAGACTCTACAGGAGTACAGCTACTTTTTATAACTAGTGCTGCACCCACTATCTGTCGTTTAGTTTTGAAGCCCAGTCTTCAACAATCCAACGGTCCACATCTAATTAGTGAACCAAACTTGCAAGGACTTTAAACTCCCTCTCTTTCTTTCCACTTTATTTAACCTGTCTCTAAAACAAACCGTGGTACTCTGTAGACTGTAGTGTGTGTGTGGGCTGTACGGATGCTGCAAACGGGTACTCTGTAGACCATGAACTTTCTCTCTCCTCCTCTCCTCTATATATGCCCCATTTTTTCCGCTTCATCTTCTGGGTTTTTATCATACCCTTGCAAGCTTTGATACAGTGTTATTATATATATGTGTGTGTCATATGTGTGTTGAAACTTAATAGCTATATAAATCAGAGCCCGTTTGATTTTGTTCTCTGTTCATTGAATTGAACTGAATCAAAGCTATGGCTAGTCTGGGTCTGTTCGGAGAGTCATGTTCCTACAAAAACAGAGTCCAAACTGCAATCTGGGCCGTTCAGCTTCTACTCATTTCAGCAGGAATCGTCTCCACCGTCCTCTTGTTCAAAGCAACTGTGATTCCTTACTCACTGAACGTCGTTCTCTCTATGCCGAGTCTATGGACCTCCTCGAGGACCTGGTTATCACCCCCGTACATTTATATCATCCTCAACTTCATCATCATCACCATCGCCGCTTCCTCCACTTTCCACAGTCAGAAACAAGAAACCCATATGGAGGATGATACTGATGATTCACACACTCCACCACAACAAGAAGCACTACCCGACCAAACCCATTTCCAAGATTCTTCAATAACCACCAACCATTCGCCCAAAATCTGGCAGGAAATTCCAGAACAGAGCTCACCACCGTCTGATATTGACATCGTGAAATCAACACCGTCCGCCGAAAATATTATTGAATCATCGCCGGAAAAGTTCCCGGACGTCAATTCCGGCGAAAATGATGTTTCGGTATTCCAGCCATCTTCGCCGCAATTCACGGAAACCAGTAATAGTACGATTACAACTACGACGGAGAATCGCCGGAGAACAGTCGCCGACGGCGACAATGATGATGAGGAGACATTGGAGGCAACGTGGAAGGCGATTACAGAGGGAGGAGGGAAAGCGGCGGGTCGGCAACTGAATAAGAGCGAGACGTGGGACACGCCACCGCAGGTGACGGTGGCAGATGCTTGGCGGGAGCTGAGGAAGTCGGAGACGTTCAACGACGCGGTGTCAGCGAATAGAAGAGCTGGGCTGAGGAGAGACCCGTCACTGAGTCAGGACGAGTTGAACCAGCGCGTGGAAGCGTTCATAAACAAGTTCAACCACGAGATGCGATTGCAGAGACAAGAATCTGATCAACGTTACTTAGAGATGATTAATCGTGGTCGCTGAGTCAGGACGAGTTGAACCGGTGGGTGACAAGAATCTGATCAACGCTTTTTAGAGATGATCAATCGTGAAGTTTGACCCTTCTTCACACTACTAGTATTATTATTAGACTACTACTTGCACTTCTTGTGTGTATATGATTTCTCTGTTTTCAAATGGCTGATGAGTTAGATTAAACTCCAGGTATATAAATTTATTCTCCCCATTCTGTTTCTACCATTTCTTGCATTAGTGTGTGTGTGTGTATATATGTAACTACCGTGTTTATGTGTGAGGTGATATTTTCAGTTGCAGTCTGAAATAATTTTTATACTATTGCAGAATGATACATAATAGTAATATTTTGTCGAGTATGATTAGTTCTCTGCAATGGAATCTTTATAAATAAATCCATAGTTTGGTTTGGTTTGGTTTGATTCTTTTCATTTTATATGGGTTCGTTTTTGTTGCAACTCACTGATTAAGAGTGGACTCCACTCGCTCCCAGGTTTAATTATTACTCTGACAATCAGAATACAAGAAGAGAAGACATGAAGAACTCCAATTGTTTTATTACACCCATTTCAGTAATTAAATACATTTTTCACCTCATTATATTTTCTCCTCACACAATTATTTTGCATTTTTATCCTTGAACATAATGGTAAATGCATTATAAATTTCAAATCATTTTTGGAGCCTAGATTTTTTATTTTTTTAACTTTTTTTATGAAATGGAACCTCATAATCATCCACCCTTTAGACTTGTGGACCCGTGGTTGCCAAGTAAATTCACTGATACGTGCAACCGTGCACAATAAATTTTTTATCATATGTACATATCCTCCATATAAACTGGTTGCTTGAAATTGTCAACGAAGAAAATTTATCAGCATGATTGATCTTCTAGTTCTTTGAAATAATGAACCTACTTCCACCTAATTTTTCTAATAATCAATGAAATTGATCCTAAAAAGCAGTGGTTAGATATAATTTATTTCATCCCGTTACGAAACCTAATATCATATTAGTATTTAATTGAGAATGGTCATTCTAGGAAAATAATTTTAAAGTTTAGTTGTTGGCCGAAACTTCTTGACTTATTATTATTATTATTTTTTTTTTTCTCTTTAAAGCACGCATATCGGTCCCAAAATATATACACAATTCAAGTCAGGAGTGCAGTTCGAAAGCGATCAAGTACTTGCCTCTCAGATCTCTGCCAACGCTGCTACGATTCCAATAACTTATTATTTTTAATCGGTCAGTGCAAACCAAAGGTAAAAATAGGATCACTTTACTTCTTTTATCTACTTTTTTTAATTTCTTACATTATTAAGCAATCCAATGTATTATGTCTCACAACTACTCATAATTCTAACATAGCAATGGTTAGATATTCGAATTTGTCATATAAAAAAACAGATTCAATTTTACAGGGGAGAGAGTTGTAGAGTGGCAACTTTTAGCTCATTCTAAGAGATTCAGTTTAAGTCAAGGTTGAGGCCGAGTTTATTGGGTAAAACATATAAGATAACTTGTCGAAAATTGATAAATAAATTATTTTTGTTAGGTTTTAACATTTTTTTTTTCGTAAATATTTTACCACAACTAAATACTAAAAAATAAAATAAATAAATTTTTTTTTATATCCAAAGAAACCGAATCAGGAGGAGAATATTTTTCGTGGGATTTCCTTTGCACTTCAAATGAAAATTTGCATATTTGACTTGATTGTGTGATTTATCTTTAAATAAATAAATAAAATGTATATATACACACATGAGACAGAGTTAGACATATATAAATTTATACAAATGCAACTATTTTATTTATTTATTTGTTGTGATGAATGGAATGCAACTATTAATGTTGCAAATTGGGGAATTTTTATGCGAGAAATGCATCTATGCCTTTCATGTTTTGAAGCACAGTTTTCAAGGGAGATTAATATTATTCTATTTTCCATTATCATTGAAATTGCAGTTCGAATATATAAATTAATCACCCAGGAATCCAGGATATAAATTATATCATATGAATGAAGAATGCAAAGGTAAACTAATAATATAATATGACAAAATTACAGTAATTTATTAGATTATGAAGATAATTGCTGATTTCTAAATGAAGTTGTAACATTTGATTAGCTAAAATTGATATTTTAATGTTGTGAATTAAGATTAATTAATCAGTTAAAAATAAAATATGATTACAATTTATGCATATCCACGTATGAGGAGGGTAGGTACTATTTTTGATATCATTAGACCACGAATGTTTTAAGGTACAATTTATGCGTTTGGATATATGAATAATATTTATAAAAAAATAAAAAACTTACCAAATGTTTGCTCGGAATTATATTTATACTTTGCCAAAAAAATTATATTTCTATTGGAAAAATTTTAAATTACAATTTTATAACAGCTTAATAAGAACCCTATTTGGCGGAAAAAAATACAAAAATACATTGGAAACTGAGAAGGGACAGATCTTTGATCCTCCACTTTTAGAGTGAGAAACAGACAAAACGGCATCGCCCAGGTAGTGGTTGGTTCAGGGGAAGAGAGAGAGAGAAGAGCGCCTGGGTGTTAGATCAGGAGAGTGACTCAGAGAGAGAGGAGAGAGACAGTGCCAAGGGTTTTAGATCAGGAGAGTGAAAGAGAGACAGGAACAGTGCCTAGTGTTTTAGATCAAGAGAGAGAGAGAGGGGAGAGAGACAGTGCCAAGGGTTTTAAATCGAGAGAGAGAGAGAGGATATGGCTTCTCCGTCGCCGCCGTCGTCCTCGGAGAGGGTGGTAAAGAAAGAGAGTTTGGGATGGATAGAATGGTTGAGGGGATGGTTCTATGTGATATACGAGATGCTGTTTCAGAGGATAATGGCGAGCCATTTGCAGGATCCAATGCCTCTTCCTCCTCTCAGCGATGTTACTTGCATCATTACCGGATCTACCAGTGGTATTGGCCGCGAAATCGCCAGGTCCTTTCTTCTTCTTCTTCCCCATTTCTTCCATCGTTCAGTAAAGAAATACTGTTTCTGTGGCTTTACACTTTACTGTTGGTCTTGTTCTATCTCTTGTTATTTCATATGAAACACTTGATTTACCGTTCAGTTATAGGTTAAAACTTTGCATAAATTCTTTATTGTTTGGATCGCTAGGAAAAAAGACACATCAAAATAGTATGTATGAACGTTAAGGAGTGAAAGTAAATAGGAGGTATTAGAATGATGTTGCAGACAAGGTGTTATGAATTAGGAAATAATATGTATTATGTAGACTGGAATGTGATGGACAAGTGAATGTTAATCAGAGACAAAATTTTGGTATGATTTAGGGCACAGGTTTTTAACAGCCAACTGAGGATGTTGAGATGGATGATCGGTAGCTTTTGAATGTTTCTTAAGAAGTTTTAGACTTTGAGGGCTAATAATTGTTGCAAGATCGGAGGATGTTGGTTGAGATGGTTTGAACATGTGTAATGAAGACAAACAATGCACAAATAAGTGAGTGTAATTTCATTGAACTTACAAAGATGGGGGGAACAATTTAGTTTGAGGTTGTGTGAGAATTACAATGATGGAACGGAATTTGATCAAAGCTGGGGCACTAGGGCATTGGGTAGAGTATAATGGTGAACCCTACAATCAAAAGTGGCTAGGATAGGGCTTTCATAAGTTTCTTGTGTAATTTTTATTATATATTCAAAAAATGATTCGTTAAAGGTCAAGATAAAGTTAGTCATGCTCGAGGCAGCCACTTTATGCAACTAATACCAAAGATTTGGTGTCCATTTCATCCCTCCCGGAACTTTTGCTGTCGGGACTATCACTGGGTAGTGGCATGCTTTTGTGAAATTAAGTTGCCTTCTGTTTATAAAGCATGCTGGAGAATGGTTTGAGTAAAAACAAGACGACAAATAATTCAATTAATTTCAACAAGATTTTTATTGTTGATTAAGTTATTCTCTTAAGATACTCAGTAGACAGTTTCAACAAGATCTTCCATGTTGATTAAGTTATTCTCTTAAGATATTCAACAGGCTACTGATGTGCTTCATTCAGGAAAAGAAAGATTTGGAGGAACATTTATAAATTATATGAAGGAATATATCACAACATAAACAAAAATCTATACCGATATGCTAATTATCAATCCCTAAAATCTGAGGAGATGCCCTCCAATATAACATCACCTATTATTTTTATATATCTGACATATTTTACTGCCATGATGAAACATATGCTATTGATGATCATTGTTTGATGAACATTAAACTTTTGTGACCGCATGTCATATTGAAGAATATGGCCTTGTTACTGCATCTACTTGTTTTTATTTATTTCTGCTCTTGCGAAGTGTCTTGAGATTCCATGGGCGTGATTTTCCTCATCTTTCAGTTTTTAAAAATAAAAGGCACAATCTTATAATTATGTTGTTTCCTTTTATCAAACAGGCAATTGGCAGAATCAGGGGCGCACGTTGTAATGGCGGTCAGGAACCCAAAGGCAGCACATGAGTTGATCCGGAAGTGGCAGGAGGAAGTGTCAGGAATGGGGCTTCCTCTTAATATTGAGGTATATGAAAATCACATTGAATGCAGCAGTATGAAAAAAAATGATCATCTATTTTGTTTGATAAACTATGAACAAACATTAAAGGACAATAAAAATGCCCCCTTTGCAAAATGGCTTCTTGGCCAAAACTCCATTTAATAGTATTTATTTTTTTTCCTAGTTGGTACTCACACACACGTGCCTCCACCGAGGCTCGAACCCCTAACCTCTCTTTGAAAAGTAGGGGCTTGGTACCGCTAGGCCACTAGCCTGTTGGTAACTCCATTTAATAGTATGGTTGTAATATTCATTATGAAGACCTTTGTATATGATTTTTACTGGTCCGTTTTGTCAAACATCCTAAAATATTATATATATGCTCTTGCACAATATATACAATAAGGTTATGTGTTTACTGACTCTTGAGGCATCCCTCTTCTCTCTGGAGTATTGTTAAGTTATTACTATTCGATTTAGTTGTTTTTTAGTTGCAGGACTTCTAACTTTCTTAAATCACAACCTTTAAGGTAATGGAACTCGATCTTCTCTCTCTGGATTCTGTTGTGCGATTTGCTGAAGCGTGGAATGCACGTTCGGGACCTTTGCATGTTCTCATCAATAATGCGGGGATATTTTCCATTGGGGGTTGGTATATTTTTGTTTAATTCCTGAAAACTGAGCATCCTTCTTGGTGTTTCTGCTCTCAACGGTCTGCAAGTCCTATTTGTATTTTCTTGTGAATTTATTTGTTGATGCCAAACTCTTTTATTGTAGCAGTAAACTATTTTTACTTACGGCATGGTTTTTATTAAAGTATCACAGCCTCTGTATTTTTGGGTCATGGACAATTCTTATATTAAATGGAGTCCTTTAATTTACCTAATTTTGCAAATTCCATTTTTGTTGTGAAATGGATAGGAGTTTATTTTGATTGGATTCTACGTGGATAAGCCTTTATCAGGTTTTTATCATCTGGGCAACCCCACTGGTAATAAATTTGCTTTTATTTCATTGCCATCTTGATGTTGAATGTCCCTCTTATTTTCTGTTGCATACTTGGATATTTTTCAATCTTCTTGTTATGGCCAACAAATTGTTTCATTTTGTTTTTTGTTTATGTTTATGCTTTTGTTGTTTTTTGTTTTTTTGTTTCGTTTTGTGTGTGTGTGTGGTAAAAGGTTTTTGTTTTTCCCCACCTGTTGTGTAGCCTTTCAAGGTTATCCCATCTGCTGCTCAGTCGATTAGTTTCAGTCAATTTTTAATGCAAAGAAGTTGAGAAGACTTCTTAATATTTTCCGTCCTGGTTAGACTGATACCTTTTATTTATTTTGTGCTTAGAACCACAGAAATTTTCAAAGGACGGTTACGAAGAGCACATGCAAGTGAATCATTTAGCTCCAGCATTGCTTTCAGTATTGCTTTTGCCATCTCTTATCAGAGGCTCCCCAAGCCGAATTATTAATGTGAATTCAGTTGTAAGTTCAATGGTCATTGTAGCTGTGTCAGGTGTCTTTATATATATGTGTTCATACACACACATGGTTATCTATCTGTATGAATAATGTACTTTTTAAAAAAAATATGAATATATATATGTACTTTACGTATGGATAGGTGCCATATAGTTTTTTCCTTTGTTAAATTTTTATCATCTAGTGGTTGATACTTGAAATATTAAAGTTCTCCAACTCCTTTAGATTTTTTTAAAAATACCACCTATTTTTTAAGTTGTGAAACTGATTTAATTTTATTTGGTGCGTTTTTCTTCCTTTCTCAATTAGCCATGCACTCTTCTTTCTGTTCTTTTTCCAGGTTCTGGAACACATTGACATGGTTTAAATGCTGAAGCTTCAGCATTAAAAGTTATTTATTTATATTTTCTAAACTTGAGGGATGTTGAAACTGAATAAGTAGTGCTGGCAATGAATGTTTAATGTGACATATGGTTTGAGTAAAGTAGTTATTGTTACTATGTTTTTATTTCAAAGAAGCACTTTAGGTTTTTATATATTTGCAAGAATTTATCATCTGACGATGAGCATGATTTATTTTCCCTTTTAAAGATTATGGAGGAATACCAAAATAAAAATTGAGCCGAAAAATGTCATGTATATAATTCTCCATCATAATTTCCTATGAATTTAACTCTAACTCCTGTAAATTCCTCTTTAAAATGGCAACCAAACACATCCATTCTCTGTATAAACTGAATGCTCAGCCAAACCCCCTTATTATCTGCAATTTTAAATAAAATTTGGATGAATTGTCTATAGGCAGCAACCTATGACAAGCTAATTTGGGATCTTCAAGGAAATAGACAAGAGCTTATATGGGTCCATTATTATTTTATCCTTCTTTTAATAAGATTAGATCTAGGAAGCACAGATGTGAGGTCAAAGTCTCAGACACATATTGGATACAGACATGCATCGGGCACACCAAAAATGTTTCTGAATATTTTTCCTTTTGGACACGGTCCGTAAACAATATGGACACATTGACACATTGTGGACATGCTGCAGACTTATGTCTACTTGAAAGAGGATTTTAATTATAAAAAATGGGTTAAAATCTAAAGTATCAAGCCATTTTACTTACTGGATCTTTTTATGCTTATTATTTGTTTGAAATTGAAAAAGATCATGAAAATGGTAAGAATATTGCTCTCTTTCACAACCAAGCTTCGAACTTGATTTAGGGAAAAAAAAAAAAAAACTTTGAACTTGTTACGACCAATCATCGAAGTTTGACTCCCTACAAGCCTTTTTTATTATCAACAATGCACTATTTTTTTCAAACCCATTTCTTTCCCTACAAATATCATTTTTTGGATCTTTTTATGCTTATTATCAAAAAAATTATAAATAAAAATATATATGTGATTTTTTTTTTTTTAATTATTTTTTTTTAATAATTTGGCACTTGTATATGTGACTCTCTTGCAATCTTTTGTTGAAAATTTGAAATTAAGGCAGGTTGAATAACCAGTTATAAATAGTATTCATTTTTGTAACTTTGTAATTTGTTTTGTACTAATTATTCTCTTCTTATCACGCTTGTAAGCCTGAGAATCTGTTAATTTTTTCTTCTCTTAGATGCATTATGTTGGATTTGTTGACACAGAAGATATGAACGTTGTTTCCGGGAAAAGAAAATATACAAGCTTAGTGGGGTACTCAGGCAGCAAATTAGCACAGGTGAAATTGATTTTCTGATGGTTGCAATATCTGGAAAGGCTTCCTTTTCTGTTTTCTTTTTTGTCCTCTTAATTGGATTTTTACTGCCCTTATTTTCCTGGTACAAATATAAAAAGATCATTTGATGGTTTGTTTGCTGAAAATGATTTAACATTTACGTTAGGGCTCACCCTGGGGCGTGGTGAGCTTTCATCTTGTTAGAATACCATATTATACAGCCAATTGCCTAAAAAGTTTAAGCTGTTAAAAAATTGCAACAACAATGCATACCAACCTTGCACACCTTCCCTCAGCAATTACTCTGTCTCACATGTGGTGGTGAAGCAAACAGATGTAGAAGTAGATAAAGATGTGAAACTAGGACCTTTCGTAGTCAAGGTTTTGATACAATACCAGTTATCAGCTTTTGGGGCTATTGGTATTTGGTAGTGTAACAGTTTTAATTGGTTTGGGATGGTTAAAATGAACATTATGCTTGAGTTTCCTTTAATGATAAATTTTGATGGATTGGAGAATTCATCTTTTTTTAATTTTTATTTATAAATCTTTAACCTTGATGAAGGTTCTTAAGGTGACCGGTTCTTGTATATCACACGAGTTAGTATGTTCTCAATATGCCCTTTCTTAGTTTGCTTGGTATGTAGCATGTTTGATCCTTGTATTAGTATTTAGTATTTATTACTTTGAATTAGTGCTTATTGATGTATTTTTTAAATTTATTTCGCCAACTTGGAAACAGATACGGATTGTTTGATGGTACATTGTTATGCCGATACTGCCTTGAATGAAACCGTTTCTTTTTTTTCTTTCCTTGTTTTAATTTATACCCGAAATGATAGGAAAACAAACCTTAAACCTTTTCTTTTAGTCTCACCCCACTGGTGTTACTAAAGGCCCAAGGCGTCTGACATTGTCTCCCCCTTACCATCTAACTAATGGTTTATTGGTGTTTTGGATAAAGCTGGAGATTGTTTCTTTGGTGATTTTCCTGTGGACGTGTGTCAATTGGTGTTTGTTTCATTTAGATCTTGAACTGTGGATGGTCAATGTTTTTTTCTTAGACGATTTTGATGCTCAATAACCGTCTTTTTTTATTTCTTTATTGGGATTATTGGTATGCGTTCCCTTTATTTTTGTAGTCAGAAAGTTGATTATTGACTTGGAAGTTGTAACTCAGAATTGTGAATTATTTTCTTGCACTCTTTCTTTCTAATGTGAAAAATCGAGGCATTCAAAATAGTTTCTAGTGAAAGTTCTAAAGCAACTCAGAAAGTTGTTTGCAGGTCATGTTTAGTAGCGTCCTCCATAAGCGGTTGCCTGCTGAAGCTGGCATAAATGTAGTATGTTTATCTCCCGGAATTGTCCAGACTAATGTTGTAAGTCCCTTCAACTATTTCAAATTTCTTTTAGTTGTAGTGGATGCATGGATATATATTCTTGTATATATGTATTCCCAACACAAAACAACTGATTAGATCTTACTATTGCAACTGAGAGTATTGGTCACAATGTCAAGTTCAATTAGTCCAACAGTCTCGTTGAGATCTTGCCTATGGAAGTTTGGATATTGAATTTTTTTGGCTGGGTACTGCAGCTTCCATGCTACTCATTTTTGGATTAATTTAGTTTGTAGTTGCTAAATTATATATTGGTAATAGTATTACCAATATTAGGCTAATTTGATGTAGATTAATGTAGGACGTGGACAAGTGACTTACAGATGGTAGATCTTATTGACATGAAGATGTGGAGTTATGGTAATTGAATGTGCCTGAAATATATAAGGTTAAAAGTGTTCCGCCATGCACCTACAGTTCAAGTTTGTTGAAGTTATGGAGTACAAGTACCATAAAGAATCAACCAATCATTTGCATAAAATGAAATTGGCTAAAAGCCAATGTGTATATAGTAGTCTCATATTTGCTTGCTGAATTTGAAAGTAGTTTATTACAAGAGCAATTAGCCAACTACCTAGATTTGGTTGCTTCACTATTTTTATTATTTTATTTCATTTCATATTTTATTGGAGTTTTGATCCTTTTGTCTTTATCTTGAAACATCGGCAATTTGCAGTTGGATATAACAAGTACTCCCTCTGTCCGAAAAAAAATGTCATACTTTCCTTTTTGGCCTGTCCCAAAATAATTGTCACTTTCCTTTTTCAAACAATATTTTTTACATCTTTCCATACATGTCCTTGGAGTTTAAAATTTCAAACTTGAATATTCAAAACTTAGAAGGGCAAATTAGTAACTTTCTAGGGAGACAAGGCATGTCCCACATGCCCCCTTAAAAATTCCTACTCCCCAAAAGTGACTTCTAAACTGGGACAGGGAGTACTAAATAGTAAGAATTATAGTTGTAACTATACTCTATTTTGTATTTTTTTTATAAGTAGTTGTAACTATACTGACTTGCTACACCCTTTCTTCTTCTGTTTTTTTTTTTTTTTCTTCTAATAAGTAATATTGTATTAGAAGGCGTTCAAACAGGGAAAGCATCCCGCAAAAGCTACACAAGGGCTAAATGGGGCCCCTAAACTCTCAATATGTCCATAATATCTACCATCTCTCCCACTGCTTTACAATTTCTCCCTATGACGTAACAAAAAAGAGAACAAATAACAGAAAATTTCAGCGCCCTGATAGGAGTTTCCTCGTCATCAAAAGATCTATTCCATTCCTTCCACAAGCACCACCATAGGCACAAGGGTGCCACCCTCCAATTGGTATGAGCTTGGGATCCCTTTATACATCCTCCCCAAGCCTCAATCATTCCTCTAGAGAACAGAGGCATAACCCATTGGACCCCAAACAACTCCAAAAGCAACCCTAAACAATCCCAGGCCACTGGACAGTGCAACAACAGGTGATCAACTGACTCTTCGTCCCTTTTGCACATGCAAGTCCTTAAATTGTCCAGCATAAGGACCCTCCCCTGGACAGCCGTCCAAGCAAAAAATGTCCACCCTAAGTTGGGCCTTAGTGCGCCATACAGCCTTCCACATGAAGGGAGGCCCCGAAAAATCTGACGAGATCCTATAAAAAGAGCAAACATCAAACATTCCCTGAGAGGAAGGCACCCACACCAAGGAATCAGGCTCATCACCCTTCCTATTCCTTTCCATCACTTTGCATGCAGTTTCCTGGAGGGATGCCACCATAATGATATTGAATAGGATTTAAAAATAACCAAATGAAATAAGCATGTTGAACATTTGTTAGTAAATAGTAACATATGACAAAAAGTGTAAAATGTAAATACCTAATCAACACAAATAAGTAAAACAGCAAACACTAAATACATGCCAGCGACATGCTAGTCTTGATGCACTGAGAAACCGTGTGCCATCTATCAACAATCTTCCAGTGTTCTGATAATAGTGACAATCTTTTTAAATTTCCTACTTTTAGTAATTAATACTTCAAATATGAAACCGTAGTATCGTCAATATTAACTTTTAAATTTAATCAACCAACCATAGTATCGTCACCAGTGGCTCATGAAAATTTCAATTACCAATAATCTTCTGCCAAAAATCATTTTCCAATATAAGCTTTCTCACATCATTAGCTGGACTACTCTTGGTGTTCCTCCTCCTTGAACCTTTTAACATTTTATGAACACGATCATCAAATTTTATTTATACCTCAAAATAGTTCTAGGAGCTATAGAATATGTGGTAAATCTGGTATTGTTAGGAAAGATCAGTTCTCTATGCCTCAACTCCACATGATCTTTTTCTAACTATTTGAGGTCATGTGTATGAATCCTACTTTTCTTTTTGCTAGCCTATAACGTTGTTAAATCAAACACAATTGAATCTTTATTATCTTTAATTCATGTTAGTAATGTTGTTCCTCTTCCTCTCTCTCCCCTTCAATGTCAATCACACTTCCTTTCCTCACTAATACAGTTATTATTGTCTTCAATTTGTGCTACATCAATCGTCTCACAATTGTAACTATTTCTAATTTCATCCATTCTTGTATTACAATGCATCCAACATTGACATTTCAACCGCACTCCTTTTATGGAATCGTTGGTTCTTAATCGCCAAATATTCTAATTTTATAAAGTAAGATTGTTCTTATGACCGTTTAATAAAATTTACATTTCAATTAAGTGCTAAACATTAAGCACATAATATCTCATAAATAAGCATTACCGCCGAAGGGTCATAGCCCAGTGGGTATGTCATTTATTTCTCAAGTGGGAGGTTGAGGGTTGAAGTCCCTGTAGGGATAATGTGGGTGTGAGTTATTTAATAGGAAGAAAAAAAACATTAATAAGCATTCATGTTTGATTGAGGCTATGGCCTTAGACAAAGGAGAATGGAAACATAGGATTCTCGTAGCGTACCCCAAGTACTTGAAAAAAAAGCTTTGTTGAGTTGAGTTGTATAAATAAGCATTAATTTAACCCATCTTGGTTTATGTATGAACCCCAAACAAATTGAATGGAGAACCTTATAGAACAGCTTAGGCAATGAAGTAGCCATATGGCTTGAGAATGAACATAATTCAAATACGGGTGTTGAGATGGACGAGTTTCCGGACTAGAAGTAAAATTTTTTTAAGATTTAAACAATCTCGAGAATAAAGGTAATATTTACTAATTATAGATGACAAGCTTCTCAAGTGAAAAGAGAGTTCCAGTTGGGTTTTACTTTAGTCGTTGAGTTAGCAAAACCTAAGGGCCGGTTTGATTCAGTTTTTGGTTTTTAGAAAACTGTATGAAAATCTGTTTGGCTGACAGTTTCTAAAAACTCAGTCAAAGAAAGTTCTGTTTTCTCTGAAAAAACAGTTTTCTGTTTTTTGAGTTATTGAAAACCTGAATCAAACAGGCCCGAAATGTTCCATGGATTGTTGGAAAACATGGCCCTTGATAAAGATAATTATCAGAATCGGGTGGATGACAGTGATGTAGATCATGTTTGGAAACCATGAGGGCATATATTGCTGATATGATGGTGATGGCTGGTTGAGTCAAGAGAAAGCTTAAAACATTTGTGCTGATTAGCAGCTTTTTGAGATGTTTACAGACTGTTCAGGAGGAAGAAGGTTTTTCAAAACTGTTGGTTTAGATGAATTGGTTCAACTGCCAAAGGTTTGTCATGAAGTCAGATATTTGGGGAACAAGTACCATCTGGTTCTTAGGCTAAAATATCAATAAATTTAATGTATTGCTTCTTTAACAATATGGATTTTTAAATAAAATAAGAGATAATAAATGTGAAGACACTACTTACAACAATAATGGGATCCAAAGAGATGAAATGGAAGGAGGGGGAGAACCAGACTAACCTCAAAGATTTCAGGGAAGGCAGGATATTACTGTGTCTTAGACAAGTGATCGAGGCTTATATGTGGAGAAGAAGTTGTAGTTTGAGGTTTATATGTGGGGAAAAGCTGCTTAAACTCGAGGCTTATATGTTGGTTATGCAACATCAAGGTTTGAGTAGTTCGAGGCTTATTTGTGGGGAAGAGCTTTCCGAATTCTAGGTCTATCTGTGGAAAGAACTCCTCTTTGCTTAGGTTTATCTATTTGGAACAACTCGGAAGAGCTCCATAAAGGTTTTAGTGAACATGAAGTTTTTGAGAGGGGAAAATTCTTCGAGGTTTTGTGCTTCAAGGTTTATTTGTTAGAAGAGCTCTTCAATGACGTGGCTTTTTGACTGTTTTGACTTTCCTGCAGCATTTGCCATTTTGGCAGGCCTTGAGTTTGAAGAGCTTTTTCCGCACAGATAAATCTCGAACTACCTAAATCTTAAGGACTTTTCCTCTACAGATAAGCCTTGTATCAATTGAGTCTCGAGTACCCATTGGGGGATATTTAGGTGGGATTTGGGTTGGAAGCTGAGAGCCACAATTCGTCCAAGTACTAAAGTACTTGGCCTTGTACCCTCATTTTTGTAAAACATTACAACTAATTGTAATATATTACAAAAATGTTGTAATATCTTACAAGAATGGGGGTATAAACAACAGGACCATCGTTACCCTCACTTTTATAAAATATTACAATCCGTGCCAATATGAAAGTGAGTGTAATATATTTTATTCTCACTTTCACAGTGGCATTGATTGTAATATTTTACAAAAGTGATGGTACCAATCACACAGTGGAGGGACAATCACTCTTTAAAAAAAGTAAAACCTTACCCCAACCACTACTAATGCCATTAAATGCTCAAGCACAACCATTTACTGTTTGAACAATCATCACTAATGCAGTAATTAAAAAAGTGATCTGACCAAGACCAGTAGGTAATGCCCTTCGAGACATTAACCAATGGTCATTAACTTGCCCTCAAGACATTATAAATAGGGCTGATTTCAGAATATTAAAAAGAAATAACAACAAAAGAATATTAGATTAGGAATTAGGTTCTACTACTTAGTGGACCCCATTTGCCTTGATGACGCTAACGTAATGTCTCTAATTTAAGACATTACAAATATAAATAGGAACACCATGGACCTTCTGCTAATGTAATGTCTCTAATTTAAGACATGACAAATATAAATAGGAACGTCATGGACCTTCTGGTTTAGCACGATCTATGTTGTTAAAGGCGCACCTAGGCTTTAGGCTCCTACATGTGAAAAACTTGTGCCTGTTGTGTGCCTAGGTGCGCCTTTGACAACATTTGTGCCTTTAATATGGAATATGAATAAACTTTAATTGTAATTTAATTTTTCAATTGTGCGCCTTTCGCCTTGCGCTTAGGCTCGAAGGACCTCCAGTGCCTAAGTGCGCTTTAGGCCTTTGGTAACACTGAGTGCGATATGTGGCTGTTTCAAAATATGAAGTCTATTTTATGGTGACTATTTGATCGAATTCAAATATAAATTTTTGACACATCATTGTGAGAAAACTATTGCTTTTCCTAGTAAATCTTTATATACTACTGATATGGCGTACATTGGACTTGCATCTTAGCATGGATTCCAAAATGCGGACTTTAAAAGGTTTCATCTTTTAAAGCTGTCTTTCAATATCTGGTGCTTGAAACTATCATGTTAAATTTTTTTTCTGACAATTATCAATTCAAAAGATTTCCTACACATTTTGTTTTAATAGACATACACACACATCATACTCTCGTGTTTTTAACTTTGTTATCTGCAGGCAAGGGATCTTCCGAAGATTGTTCAAGCAGCTTATCACCTAATACCCTATTTTATCTTCAGTCCTCAAGAAGGTAGGTCTTTTTGTATGTTTTATATATTTTTTTTATTTGTTGTGAAATGCATATCATTCTTAATTATATGGCGATAAGAAAATACGTTGATATGCATCATTTGAGGAATCGTAATTATAAAAAATGTTATTAGTCAATTTGACTTTTATTGTATTTCAATCTATACTGCAAAAAGAATTACCCCTCTTACGCACCCTTCTGGTTACCTACCAGCACCACTTTTTACCACCCCCTCCCAGCAGCATCCTGTTACTCACACCTCCTGCTGCAAACTTCATATCATGTCTGAGCTTGAAATAACTTTTAGAGCAAGTGTAATCAAATTTAACTGATGCCATCCCGTGGATTCTTTGATCTCTGCAAATGCTTTCTACTGATAATTTGTCAACACAGCTGTAATCAAGAAACTCTAAAGATGGAAAAGAGTATTGATGGAGAGGATGGAGGGGGCATGTATGCTGTCACTCCTGTGAATGTCAGCAGCACAATACCTAGAGAAGACTGGTTGACTGCAAAATAAAATGACGTTTTCAAATTTGTGCTATATGAAGATTCTTCTTTTCTTTTTCTTGCGTTTTATGGAATTTAGCTGATGGGATTTATTTGGATAAATTTTCTATTCCGAGGGTTATTTTCATTAATTTTCCGCAAATATGTGCCAATTAACCTGGTAATATTGCACTGTCAGGTTCTAGAAGTGCACTTTTTGCAGCCACCGATCCCCAGGTTCCCGAGTACTGTGAATTGTTAAAAGCAGATGAGTGGCCTGTCTGCGCCTTCATTTCTCAAGATTGCCGTCCCACAAATCCATCCGAAGAGGCACATAATATAGAAACTTCTTACAAAGTGTGGGAGAAGACATTACAGATGATTGGCCTTCCTTTGGATGCAGTAGAGAGACTTATAGAAGGGGAAGAGGTTAATTGCAGATATGGTGCACAGCAGGGGTAGTTTTTCCTTTTACTATGATTATTAACTGTTTTCGTCTGTTTTAGGGGCATGCTCCCTGAACTCCTTTTTTGGCTGACTACATACTACAAGGGTTGGGTTGAAACTCCAAGGTCTGCTCCCTGCTGTGCTACTGCTTCTCCGAGGGGAAACTCACTCTTATCTTGTATTTTTGTTAGCTTTTTTTTTTTTCTGACTAATCCAAAAAAAAAAAAAAAGGTTAGCTTTTTCACGTCTCTGATTATATATAACCTTTGTGGGTCTTGTAATAATGTATTTGGAAAAAATTGATGGCGATTCTGTCATACCCTGTACGTACTTATTTATTTGAGTTTATTATTTTCAGTTGCAATTGTCTTTGAATGTCTGATTTGAATTCTTTGCGAGCACGCTCTTCTTCTAAATGATTATATATAACATTTTTGAGTTTCTGTAATTTTATTTATTTTCTTTTTATTATTTATTTTTTGGCTGCCGTGGAAAACATTGAAATTGTGGGTGTTATGAGTTGTGCACTTGCACTCCTGAAAACTTGAGCAAAACAGAGATTTTGTGACAATTTTTTTTGTCACATAAGGCTGAAATCATTTGAAACGGCTTTATTATTATAAACTTGGAACTACAATTTAGTCACTCCACCTGGATTTGAATGCATTCCTTTTATGAAGCTTAGTTTGGTTTGCAGTTTGAAAGAGACCATACCATGCGTATTCCAATGTGAAAAAAATGAAAAGTTGTACACCATTTGCACCATGTATTTTGCTCTTCTTATTATTTGAAATGAGTCTGCCAAGAAAATACATCATTTTATTATAATCCCAATTTCTTTGTGATGATTCCTTCCTTCCCAACAATGTACTTATTCCATCGTGTTTTGTAGTAAACAAAGCAGAGTAATTTCGGTTTCATGGATGGCCCAAATACTTCCTACCGATTCTTAGTTGAGCTAAGCTATAAGCTTTTGGTAGACCAATAGCTTTCATTGAAAAAATGGAATCACTCTTTTACATAGCAACGCCATCCCTACCCCCAAAAACCATCATTGTGACCCCTATGCTGTAGGCGTGTTTCTGCACTATACTATACGCTTAATGCAAAATGCTCAAAGTAGAAAGAAATGCATATGGTGCTTACAAAACCAAGATACATATGATGTGTATAAGATTAAATTTACATAAGCTTTGTCCATAAAAGAAAGATCCAATCATATCTAATCATTTAGGCAAACGAATACAAATGAAAGCTTGCTGAACAGAGAGCCAGCATTATGTATATAACAAAGCTATGGGGATGGCTAAACTACACAATGCTTGCCATTGCTATTTCAGATTTAATGTGTTGAACTGAAACACCAATAACATATATCTAGTATTATTTGCATGACTACCAAATCACAGTATCGGTACTACACTGTGAACCTTCTACCCTCAACAATGATGCTGTTGAGGGCATTAATTTAAACATTTTTTATTACATCATCAGCAACCGAATATGAAGAAAAACCGCTTCTGAGAGATTGATGCTACTTGATATGATATTCTTACCTTGTTCTCTCATTGCTTCCCACAATAAGCCTGATGTGAGAGGAGCCACAACTGCATAGTTGGGATAAAGATGGACGCTCATCACCAGTTTGATCAACCGGAACACTCATTTGATGATACCCTTGATGAGTTCAGGAAGAATCTTTCGCTAATCAAATAGCCATCAATAGTGTGTGCACAAGCCTAGCAATATCCAATTGGCATTCTGCAACTAACAGTTTTCATTAGCGAACATTGAAATTTTAAGAACACATTGTAATAAATGTAATGCAATGCAAGTGAACTCGGCTGCATACAGAGATTGTATTAAAGATCCAAAGATGAGGATATTCAGTAGTGCCACTTACTGATTTTAGCAGAGGCAGCCTAATTTCGTGCAAACGTTGAATCAGAGATACTGTTTCACACGCAGAAGCTAAGCATCATGGTGGTTCCTTAAGGTGGGGGTTGTCTTAATCCCTAGACTAGCTTTAATGATAGGAAATGTTTTATAGATTCAAAATATATATGCAAAAACTCTGGCTGACAAATGTGAGACTTTGAGAGTAGCACCATGTGCAAAATAATGTCAAAAGTTATGTCGGCTTTACTGTGTTCTATCTTTCTGTCCAGTATCTACATAGGCAGGGACATGCATTGGTAATGACCTCCTATAGAAATTTCCAATTTAACATGGAAGATGGGTCATTTGCCACATAATTTCTAGCAACTCAAGAAAATTAAATATGTTATTGCATCCAAACAAAACATACAGATGATAGTCAAATACATGTAATCATCCCACACAATTAAACAATTCCGTTGTCATTTTGTTTCTGCTCTTTATTTTACCAAAATAAAAAATAAGAATGAAAAATAAAGAGAATTCTAATAGGGAGAGGGAGAGGGAGGGGGAGGGAGAAAGAGAGAAAGGTTTCAAGTGAAATAATGAAAAGAAAGAATCAACCAACCACAGGAAACAAACACCTTTAACACCCCATACAAAGAACAAAAAAAGTTGAACAAAAATAAAAGCAAACTCAAAAACCAATCTCTAGAAACCAAAAGACAAGAACCAGATCAGCAACAAAGCTCATTCTTATTTAGGACAGAGAACTCAAACCTGAAAACAGTAGAAGCAACTGTTGTGTTCATTATAATGACTGATTCATATAACTTCAAGAAATTAAACCCGCAGCGGCAAGCTTCTCTTGAAACCTTGCAATTCGAGCCTGAATAAGTTTGATCAGGAAATATTAAGCAGTTAATACATATCTCGTATATAATAGAATATCCAAGTCCATCATCAAAATCTCAAAAATTCTTAATATCAGATGTGAAAAAAGAGAACAAAAAAAGGGGGGAAAAAAAAAATTGAAAACCCTACAGTAACTCGAGACGGCTTCAACCAGGGATACCTCTTTCTCTCTTCCTCTTTATTTGTTGATGGAGGCATTTATCAAGGACTGGTCAAGCGGTTCTAGGTTGGGTGACTGGGGGATCCTTTGGTGGTGTCCACCTTTGTTTATTAATGACAGGATAGTTTGTGTAGCAGAAAATCAGTTGAAGTGTATGACAGTATAGCCATATTGTCATATCCAGATCATAGTGTGTACAAGGGTGTATCCCTGTTTTTAGTGCTTCCTAATTATACTTACCAATACACACACACACACATGGATTATTAGGTTGGACTGCCTTACACAATCATCAGTGAAAAACCAAACCAACATGTGCTCAGTTCTAAATTTGCACCTAAAACCAACAAAAATATTATGCAAGGCAAAACCAAGCTAAACCAAAAGGGCTTATTTGGTTCAGTTCTATGAAAACAATTTTCAAGGGCCCAGGAAACAGTTTTCATAGAAATAGAAAAATTGGCAACCAAATGAATTTTCTAACAATTTTCTGTTTTCCAGTTGGCGGAGAACATATTGACGAAAAATGAAGCAAACAACAGACCCAAATAATTAGATTTGCCAAGTTTCAGTTTAGATAACCTCATAACCCCAAAATGCCCCGTATCTTCTCTCTCGCTCATAGACGGGCAAATGATCATGCTAGCAAGCTACATCTTTTGATTTCATTATGACCACCTTAATTGGCAGCAAAATTAAAGTATCTCATCTCTATTCAGATGGTGAAGAAAACAGATGAGGTGGCCCTGATGGAAAAAGTTTTAATATAAATAGCCATAAATTTAATGCAATTAAATAACCTTAAAGGTTAGATAAAATTGTTTTTTTTATAATCACAATTTAAATCCTTTTGTTTTGGGACATTTCTAATTTAAGCTTTGTGATAGTAATTATATGTATGCAAGACGTGTGAATATATATATATATATATGTATGTATGTATGTATATATATATATATATATATATATATATATATATATATATAATGGATATGCATGTGCAAGAATGGTGTTATATGACAACGGAGTATGCTAGAACGTAAAGTCATGGGGGAAGGGAAGGGAAGGGAAAATCTGTCAAGAGAATTTGGGTATCATTGTCATTTTTTGAATCGCAAAAAACTAATAACATCTTTATGTCATTTCATTAAGGGGACAGGCACATCCGTCATAGAGTCAAAAATTCCTGACGGTTCTAATTACTAATTAACAAGAGGGGGGGCGTTGAGCACATGCGGCAAACGTGAGGGGAGGACGGTGTAATTAAGGACCACATTGTGTAATTAGGACAACCACAAGAGGTGTGAGTGTAATTTACCCTAAACAGGTAACACAATACGGATTGCGTAACCTGTTTAATAAATTGATGAAGTTCTTATACGAGATGACCCAACACGAGATTACACATTTAATTAAAATTCCACACTATTAGGGTAATTTTTAACATGATGTCATGAACCCAACAAGTTTAGTTAAACGAGTCATTCCTAACACAAACAAGACAAGTTTATTTAAGCAAGTCTAATCGGGTTATAAATAGGTTGGTGGGAATACAAACATGGCACATGTAATTAGTGTCTAATTCAAATCAACATGATTACAACTCGAACACAATTAAGCCAAACCCAAACCCACTTTATCCCGTGTTGTGTTCAAGTCGTGTTAGTGTGTTGTGTCAAGTATTTCACCCCTAATCAATTGAATAAATAAAGGTAGCCTTAACAATTCAACATGGTATATACACATGTCAGAATTCGGATCATTAAATATTACTTTGTGTCATGCCTGCTTCTAATTTAAGGAGTGGAAACCAAAAAAATTATATCCTAGAAAGGAAATTGGAGTGCATGCAATCAAATAGATTATAACCTATTGAGCACAATAAGGAATATGCACTCATAATTTCATTGCAAAATGTTGGAATAAAAATGGAACCTTGAATGATTTGGTCCGACGTATTGAAGGATCCAAGTCTATAGCCATCGAATAGGACTTCTCCACTTCATCAAATTGGTCCATAGCCATAAATGCATCACCTTGGCAAATATAAGCCTGTAAAATTGATATGTGGAAATTCATATAAATATATTGCCGAGACATACAAGAACCACATGATTAGGAGTTGGTATGACATGTGGTTGAACTTTTATCATATTCCCAAGAAAGAAACTATTTACAATTATAGAAGGCTGTGGTTTAACGTTACAACTATACACTATAACCACAGACAAGGGCGGATCTATGTGTATGCTTTGGTGGGCTCAAGCCCACCTCCCCAAAAAAAACTTATTTTTATTTTTTACTATTGGTAATTTTAGCCCAGTCCCAAAAAAAAATACACATATATTAATAGTAGTAGCCCATCCAAAACACACCCATAAGCACAAAGAAATAGGATTCAGACAACAACCATCAGGCCAACACTTGATCGAAACTATATATTTTTACAATCCAGCTTACCTCAGGATATTTAGGAGCTAGAGCCAAAGCTTCTTTAGCATCTTCAAGAGCCTCATCCATGTTGCCCATTGCCAATTTTGCAGCAGACCTGAATGAACAACAGTTAGAATAACTCTTTTTTCATGAGAGAGCCCCTTAGACCACGAAGAAAGAGACACCTTATTTTACAGCACCAAAGATACCATTGATGCGAGATCCTAAGAATCAAGTCACTAAAAAGAATTCTTGACATCTGGACTAAGGAACACCAGTACATTAACCTTCAGATATTCATAGATTATTAAAAGAATTTCGGATTCAGGGCTTCAACTCTCTTCAATGATGAAAAAAAAAAAAAAAAAAAAAAAGATTAAGATTTGCAGTAGAATACATACATGCAGTACGCAGACATGCATCATGAAGGAAATTTTTTTTGGAGGTAAACATGCTCAAAATGTGACATATCCAAAAGTACATCAAGTGCCATTGATCTCTCATGGATGAGAAGATCTAAGCTCTACGAACCTTTCTTTATATAAAATATGGATACCTCCAAATGGATTAAGATCTATAGCCTGCACCAATAAGAAAAATGGCATCATCAGTGCCCTTTCATGACCCCCTCATCCATTGGGATTCAATTACATCTCAGGAACAAATAGAAGCTACCAACTAAAACAATTAATACTTGTATTTAACATCCAAGCTGTAAAGAAAATACTATGTTCTTATTTGATGAAAACACAATTTAGAACTTTTAAATCGGTTAAACCCACAATCCATTTTTCAAATTCCACTTAAAAAATTAAAGAGGTTTATTACTTATGGGGGCATCATAACTGTAAAGAAAACTAATCCTTTAATTAATTGGTAATACCTCCGATTAAAGGAATAAAAAAAAGAAAAAGTAAATTACACGGAAATAAACTATAGAGTCATTTATAAAGTTTGATGGCACAGTATTTGGTTCGATTAGGATATACCAGCCATCCCCTTTAGATGTTTGCAGATATCATAAAGCTTTTTCCTCCATGTCTATAGCATTTTCATATACCTTCAAGAAATCATAGAAGCAAAAAAGTCTCACCCTACACCGTCACTTTGTGCATAACATATGAACTACCAATCCACCTTTTGTAGTCTGTACCAGATTTCTTTTCATTTCATCAGCAATCCTACTAGTTTCATTCAAACATTCTATAAACACCAATTAGATAGGTTTCATGATTTACTCTTTGCAGTTTATCAAAAGCATCTCTCCCTCTTCATTTAATTTCAGTTATCCTCCATTTCAATACTTCTTACCTAACAATCAGGAAATGTGCATCATATTCACCATTGTTTTCTTTTCAATTTCCTGTTTTTTTGCCTTCAAGAAACATGATGTATGCTCTAAAACTAAAAGGAGCCCTAAAAAGTTTATAAGTGAATGAGAGACAACGTGTATTCAAGTAATCCAACAAAGTAGTAACCAAGAATGTCTGCATTTATATGAAAAACCACTACAATAAATTAATAATGATTGAATCTGTAAGAACCACAAGTGACAAATATCATAATAAGTACCTCTGAGAGTAAAAGATCAGCCTGAGGGAAATTACCCTTGTCCATCTCATCTTCAGCTCTTTTCCTCAATGCAAGTGCTTCAAGACTTTTCCTCCAAGAATCGGAATCGCCGCCGCATATATCCATCATAGTATGAGCGGCACGAGCCGAGGTCCCGCAGTGACCGACGTATACGGCGCCAGGCAGAACAACGAGGTTCGGGCCACCACCGCACCGACCCAAACAACCGCAGGATCTGACTGAGACATCCGGCGGGGCAATGCCCGAGAGAGTTTGGAGGGTTTCCATGGAGCCTTGTCTCCGGCATGCACGGTTCAGACAAACCCTAATTTCTATCTCTGCCTTAATTCGACCAAAATTAGGGACAGTTTTGGAATGGGAAACAAAGACGGAATTCAGAAATGGGATTGAAGACGCATAAGTACAAGCGAGAAAGCTCAGAGCATCCTTCATCTTTCTCTCTATATTTATGTATGTACGTAGGTGTGGTGTATATACACTCTAAACACTCCCCCCCTCTCTCAACACTACTCTGGCAACTAAATGGAATTAACGACCTACCTAAAAATATTAACGACCTATCCCCTCTCAATATTATTATTATATTATTACTCGTTATTATTATTATGATTATATGGTTTAAAAGAAAACAAAGACACAAAAAAAATCTTTTTATGACAGCTGATTTTTTTTTTTTTTTCGAATTCTACAAACCAACCAAAAATAAAAACTCTCTATTTCTTTTGATAATAGATAATAGTTTGGAATCTAAAAATGGGACAATAAGAACTATGCTATTATTAATATGTATATATATACATATGATATCATGATAGACATCAACGTGACTCCCATAATATTAGTCAAATGTGTCCGATTTTCAAATTTCATATCATTTTTATTAACATATAGGTGACATCCTTTCGAGTTATGTTAAATCTATCTTGGATAATATTTTGGTTTTAGCTTTCAATTACACTCCAAATTATTTTTTAGACTCAAAAAACGTGTTGTTTATCTTTAGTTTTTTTTAATACAATTTAATACAAAATATTTATTATCGTAAATAACAAAAATGCCAATATATATGTGTGTGTGTGTGTGTGTGTGTGTGTGTGTGTGTGTGTGTAACGACCCTAACTTGTGCCAAAATTTAAAAAAAATTCGGCAGAACCTCCCCTAAAAATGGGCTTTCAATAACCTGTCCCAATACATAAAACACATAAAATCATCCAGCATCCCATTCATCCGTTCATTATACCTCAACATAGTTCCTCTCATGGTGGAACATCCACACACCAATTAATCTAAATTAACATAATTACAGTCCCAAAATACATGGTTAAGATTTAAAATCCCTGTCTTACAACGTTACATGATACAATTGCATGGAAACATATACCATAATTCCATTAATTTCATTTACATCAAACAAAAGATAAGTTCGTTCTTAAGTTACAAAGTCATGAATACTAACTTAGTTACATTTCCACAACTACGAATATACATAGAACGGTCAAAATATAAAATAGCAAACAACTTTCAAGCTTGAGGTGGATTGTCGTCCACCAGTTCATTTCCAAGACCTGAAAAAAAATAATATAAATAGTAGGGTGAGCATAAAGCTCAGCAGGTGACACTTTGTGAATCCAAACAAAGCATAGGCCAATGGGAAATGGGGATCATACAATGTCGGGAAATAATACAGCATAACGATTCAATCTCAAGTATATCCAATGCAATGGTATGAGATGCAATGTATGCTAGTGTCGCTCCTCATTTTCATAATCCAAAACATCGTTTCCAAACTGTTAATACAGCCCGCCCTTTAGTAGCCCCGCCGCGACACGAGAGGAGGATTGGCTAGTGTCCCTGACCCTTGGTAACCCCGCGGCGTCATTATGGGGCCCAGCTAGCTCAACCACGCTAGGGCGACTCCCTAGTCCCCTCTAGGTTATATTAACCTCCGGTCCGTTGGTAACCCCGCAGCGACCGGGTTTCGCATAAAACCATTTCATCAAAAACACTTCCCTGAAATTCCCTATATTTATTTCAAGAACAATTTCTCCCATTTCATGCAAACCCAATGGTATGTGCATGTATATATGTTCCATACATTCAATGTCATGGCATTTAAAATTCTACACCATAAAATTAAACATTCAACATGTTCAACATCTCCCAAGTAATTATTAACACATTAAGATATAACAAAATACATTTAAGCATGTTTTACACATAAAACAACTCACAATCAAATACATGAATTTCTTTAGACAACATTTAAAATAATCATTGATACAATTAACTTTTAATTAAGCATGCTTGGCACAACAAATGATTATAACTCACAATGGAACAAGAAGGTAGTGGATTAAGGTGTCCCTACCTCAAAATGAGCAAAATCCCTGGAAATGGGTTCTTAAATTCGAGCTCCCAAAGAGGACCAAAAGCTGGAATTTCTGGTACTAGCACGTAGAGCTCGTCGTGCTCGTCGTTTTGCCTCAAACGGCACCTTAATCCGATAAGAGATGAGGGAGAAATCAAGAGTGAAAGCTTGCAAAAGAAAAAGAAAAAAGAAATACAAAGAGGCAGAGAGCTGCGAGATAGAAGAAACAACAGAGAACAAAAACAAAAGGGAAAAAAAACGTGGTCTTATAACCACTTAAACTTCGTGGGTCCCACACACTTTTTTTTTTCTTCTCTTTTTCTTTTGCCTTTTTAAGTTACAGACATTACATTCTCCCCAACTTTAAAAGATTTCGTCCCCGAAATAAAGACATACCTGGAGAAGAAAATAACTTTGGATACTTGGAGCGAACCTCCTGTTCGAACTCCCAAGTAGCCTCCTTGACTCCGTGGTGTCTCCAAAGGACTTTCACCATTGATATCGTCTTGTTCCTCAACACCTTTTGTTGTGTGTCAAGAATCTGAACTGATCCTTCCTCGTAGGAAACATCCTCATCAATGTCTACATCAACCCAACTCAAAATGTGAGATGGATCTGGCTCGTACTTCCGTAACATCGATACATGGAAAACATTGTGGACCCTATCCAACTGTGGTGGCAAAGCAAGTCTGTAGGCAACCTCTCCTACACGGTCCAAAATCTCAAACGGTCTGATGAATCGTGGCGACAACTTGCCACTTTTCCCGAATCTCATCAATCCTTTTCGTGGAGAAACCCGTAGAAAAACATGGTCTCCGACCTCAAAGGATAACGACCGTCTCCGCTTATCCGCATAACTCTTCTGTCGACTCTGAGCTGTAAGTAACCTCCGTCTTATCAACTTAATATTTTCAGTAGTCTCGAGTACAATGTCAGGTCCTAAGGTGGCTGTCTCGCCTACCTCAGTCCAACAAACAGGAGACCTACAAGGTCTACCATACAACGCCTCAAATGAAGCCATCTGAATGCTCGCCTGATAACTGTTGTTGTAGGCAAATTCAATAAGTGGAAGGTGATCCTCCCAACTACCACCCAAGTCAAGCACACATGCCCGGAGCATATCCTCCAAAATCTGGATAGTACGCTCCGACTGATCGTCAGTCTGTGGATGGAATGCCGTACTCAGATGTAACGCTGAACCAAACGCTGCTTGAAGTCCTTCCTAGAACTTCGAAGTGAACTTAGCATCCCTATTTGACACAATGGTTACAGGAACTCCATGTAACCTTACAATCTCTTTCACATAAAGAACACCAAGCTTCTCTGCATCATCTGTTGCCTTAATAGGCAAAAGTGAGCCGTCTTGGTCAATCTGTCAATGATGACCCATACGGACTCATTGCCCCTTCGTGACCTTGGAAGACCTATCACAAAATCCATAGCATTATGCTCCTATTTCCACTGCGCTACAGGCAATGGTTGCAATAAACCGGCTGATTTTTTATGCTCGGCCTTTGTGATACCCCTCGGATCCGAGACACAGGTTGATCAGGCCCAGGCCCAAACCCGAGGGAATATCAAACAATTAAAGTATTTTAAAACGAACACAGATGACAAAAACCAATAATGATAAAATAAAACTAAAAGAAATAATAATAATAAAATCCTCCATTTGTAACTAAAAATTTAAAACTCCAATCTTCCAAAACTTCAAAGTTACAACTTGGGAATCCACTGATGGACCCCTAACTAAAAATTCAACTGAGACTGAAACTGAAAAATAGATAATACTAGAAACATCGGGGAAAAGTCCTACGTAATCCGATGAAAGTGAGACTGTCCTCGACAAGCACGATCAAGCTCTAAGGTTGGTACCGTCCTGTACCTGAAAAGAATAATAAAGGAGTGGGTCAGACCCACGAGCAAGTTCTAATCTAACTTCAATCCATACAGTGACCCGATACGCAGATATACCGTAGACACCTCACAATATCTATCTAGTCCATACGTATAAATATATCCACACTAAGGGACATTCACTAGTCTATAATAGGGGTCTCAACCTGAATAGAAGGCAACATGCGAATACGCACCCAAAGGTGGGCATGAGTACCTAGACCTAACAGGGTACACCTCAATCTATTATAACCAGCTACGCATCTACTGCATATACGCACCCTAACCAACGAGTCTGAGACTCAAGCTCAACTCGTGGTACCATAAACATATATATAAAGTCCGTCCAAATCCAGGGTAAGCAGTTCAACTATTTATTAAACTGGCCTACAATAAACCAACTAGTTAGTCACTCAACTTATTCAGTGGATATGACTTAACTACCATCCGTTAATCCAGGAAGTCATCTAACTTGGTTACAGCTGGTCTGACTTAATCACAATTAGGATTCGATATCTTTCAATCCATTCCATTAATCCATTAGGTTAGGTTTATGCGTTTTGAGCTAAACCGTCTCTAGTATGTCACCGTCCCATACCGGTACATACAATCCTCCATATTCAGGTAAATTACAACATATATAACAGTTTAATAATTTACAGACCCAAAAACCACCATCCAAACAATTGCAGAAAAATATTTAAAGCTTCAACAATTTAAATCCAAGCATTTAACCATATAGTTGCAGGAGACGATTTAACAAATCAACAACTAACATCCAGAGCATGCATAAACCAAATTTAATATGTCAGGGACTCCATCATGCATGTGAATAGGTTAAATAATCCTATTATTATCCAATAAATTGCTAAAACAATTTCAGAAGATTGTTTAATATTTCGGCAATTTAAATCCAAGCATTAACCATATAGTTGCAGGAAACGATTTAATAATTCAGCAACTAGCCTCCAAAGTATGCATAGATCAAAATTAATAATTAAATGACCTTATCATGCACTTGAATGCATTCTAAAATAAGTTTTATAAACACATTATATTCCATCAAATTGCAGAAATTGAATTCAACAATTAATTCAACTTCCAATTGTTAACAACATAGGAAGTGCCTTAATTTTTACACTGTTTGTCCCGACAATTTAGAATTAAACTTTAATCAATTTAGGGTCTTAATAACACTCAAAATTCATTCCTTAATCCCTCTGTAAAGTTCCAAATTCACTCAAATAGTCTC